TATCCAAAAATTAATTACACGACAAATAAATATCATGAAAATTTAAAAGTACATTATATTGAACTACAGTTGAACTTACTATCATGCAATAAAAAAATATTATTGATAGCCAAGTTGAGCATGACAAAAATAAGAATGTTGAGATAAATGTGTGGCCAAAATAGGAATGGAAAATTGAAGAATGATTATAATGGTAGGCGTAACATCTACGAAAACAAGGTAATAGAGAATAAAATTAGTTGGTGTGTACATGTCCAATTAAGGATACACACGCAAAAGAAATGTAGATAAAATTAGCATCAAAGGATAAAAAGGACATAGATAAACCTAAAGTAACATGAATATAAGTTGTAGTATATTTTCATACAATAGATTTAACACTTAAAGTACACAACAGCAATGACTAGTTGATAAGAGTTCACAAATCAACCCAAATAGTTGAGATATGATGGCTAATGATGGTGATAAGAAATATCAAGATTATAAGTCATAAATAATATTTTAGGAGAGAGTGATGCAACAAATGCTAAAATATCACTTCAATTAAAAACTTAATTTGATTTTATGCTAAAACTATTCTCTATGGAGTCAATTTTGTGCTAATATTCATGGTAAAAATAGAAAGCAATGAAAAGATTTAAGCATGATTGAGCGCCACTAGACCTAATTTTGTGGCCATTAAAGAGAATACAAAAAAAAGTCATGTTAAAAATATTACAAATGTGCATGATAGTGAAAGACTAGTTGCATCAATATTTGTAGGGTTAGTGAAGAATGCTTGATCAAAGAAAGATGATATCAGGGATCAACATTAAATCATCCATCATGAAATGCTTACAATAAAGAATCAACTTAAAAGATTTTACTATATGCTACTTGTGGAAGATATAATACTACTAGGTGGCAGTATTTTTGAGGAAAATGAGAAGTTAAAAGATAGGAAATCTTTTGTAATATTGTAGTCTTATGAGTAGTAGAATAATGCTGAGTTCATGCCTTTCAAATGTGAAACTTCTAATAATCCACCAATATAATAGAGGATCATGTAATACTAAGTGTGATAGGTTTATCAAATCTATCTCTTGCATAAAAAAGAATGAGATATGGATAAAATTAGTGATAAAATAGAAATATGCCTAAAGAGCATTATGTGAAATTAGAATATCACAGACATTAAAAAGCAAATTATATAAATTGTAAAGGAGGCTATGCTGCATGGTCCACTTAAATCAACACTTATGTTAGGTTAGCAAAAATGAGATTCTAAAGACAAGCGTAATAAACTATGAAGGAAAAATATGAAATGATTGTGCTACAAAGATTATGAATAGCCATTGAAGTTAAGGTAAAAAATAAGGTGGTATAGACATTACAACATTACCCTCAATAAGAAGGGAGTAAACTGTATAATTTGAAAGGCTAAGAGCTAAACCAAAGAAAAATTGGCTACAGATTGTGAGGAAAAAAAAAAGCTAAAACTAAAGGTAATGCCACATGCTACACTTAATAGGAATGGAGGAGAAGATGTACGATACTACCAATCTCAAATAGTTGAGATTGTGCTATGATGATGAATCCAATATTTCAGGTGCTGAAAAAAAATATATCCTAAATTATATTGGTAATATATATTGAAAAATTGATGCTTTATTTGGAAAAGAGAAACGCTTATCTCTTTTCTTCAGTCTGCACCTCCACAACATCCTAACCATCAAGAGTATGAGGTCATAAACAAGAAGTATAATACAAATTATATCCAACCCCATCAAGACATTCATCTTGGACGATTTGTCATTAAAAAAAAAAAAAAGAGATGACCAAATCCTACTCCCATACAGACAAATACACATATCATACATGCACAGATACAGATTCATTCATCCCTCTATGCTAGCTCCCACATGAATAGGCAATCAAAAACAGTCGCAACCATACATCCATATATAAGTTTTTTATTAGATTTGTTGTTGGATTTGTTGTCAGTTCAAAAACATAGCAGTTACCAAAATTGGTACTCATGTTTCTTATCCTATTTGGCTAAAATCCAATATATAACTTATCTCTTTTGAAAGTTGTATGGTTTGATATGAATTAAGCATATACCAAATGGAATCCATGGTACCTCTAAGCATCTGAATGGTATCGGATGCAAATATGTTACCTGCCAGCTACTAGTTATTCTTATTGAAAGACGAGCTCTTCTTTACTCTCAGGACATGCATGCTGTCACGTATCCTTAGAGAAGCACCTCAATTCTACAGCTACAACAAGACTTTCATTTTATTTATTGATTCCTTCAGGTAATATTCCAGTTAAACAAATAAATATTTATTGTCATCTAATTAATCATAACAACAAAATTAAATTTCTATTATTTATACTCCAAAGTTTGTCATTTACACTTTGGCAGGCACCCAACTAAAGTATCTCCTCAATGATACATCAAACAAGTTTGATTGGATCTTTTGCTTATTTCAAAGCATGTGCTCTACACATCTATTCACATTTAAAAGAATCATTAAAAAAGCCAGGGCTATCATTCCTCTTTCTACAATAAAATAAAATAGCTAAAATGGTCTCTAGACTCCTTATGAAATGTCCACAATTACATTAAAAGACCATTTTTGTCTCTCAACACCTTGAAGATGAATGAAGATAATACCTAGTTTTATTACCATTTTAGTCATTCATAAAGAGTCAAGGGACCATTTTAATCTCTTTCTCTATAAAATAACAAAGCCTATTATTTATAATTGGTCTGAAGGATAGCCATTATCCGCATTTCTGGTAATAAAACTAGGTAATCTTTTCAATGATGCACTTCATGCTTGTTTTTAAAAAATATTTATTTCCTTGATATTAATTTTCCCTAGTTTTCTAATAAGATAATCATTGCAAAAGTTAAATGTTGGAATTGTAAAAATTCAAACCAATCAAAAAACACCGTGCAATTGATAAACTCTACCATTCATCACAGATAACATACAAATGCAATAAACTGCATACATTTATAACTTAATTCATTTATTTTTATTTTTGGGGGTATTCACATTCCTAGTTGATACAGGATACCTTACTACCAAGGGTTCCTAATGCAACCAGTGATACAACGGATGAAATTCAAACACTATTTCATTTAGAAATTCAGAGTTTAATTAAATAATTATCCGCCAACTATTAATGAAATCAAGAGAATACAAAGAATACATGCCAAATAATAATTTAATCATAAATTAAATCAAATAAATTCAATGATAAATTTGAAGTTAACAGTAAACACAAATCAATTGGTGCTCTGGCTGAAATTAAGCACAACTTCAAAGACAAATAATGAATTATGTAGATGAAAAGAGAATTAGGTGAGAGATCATCAATCTTAGAAAACCCAAAGCTCATATTAGTAAAAAAAGATCACTTCCCCCTAGAAAATTCAGAGCTCGCACCAATACAAGGTGATTGACTAAAATCAATCATGCTTATAAGAAAATAATGATGAATTTATGTAAATGAAAAGAAAATAAGGTAAGAGATCACCAAATATAGAAAATCAAAGCACACTTACACCACTCTAAAAGGAATCAATATTCAACCAAGCACAAAAGATTAAAAGAATAATAAAATTTTAATTAAGCTATTTTTTTTTTACATGACACAAATATCAATACTTATAAACATTAATTCCCTTCAATCAGCAGTCTCCATATTTTTCTCAAAACAAACTCTCATCCAAAACCACAGCATATCCGCAATTAAAGTCATGAAAAATCACAACAAAAAGATCGCACATATAGGCTCAGAGAGATAAAAATTAGAGAATAAGGAAGCAACAGCTACAGGTTTGGCAGCAAAGCAACAATCCCACATGCATGTATAACAAAACATGTGTGAAGGCATTGTAGCATGAACTCTAGGATTAGGATTGAGCACGGGGAAATATTGGCAAGAAACAAGCACTTGCATCATCCAACAAATGATTATGGGTAGAGATAAGTATCAGAGGGTAAAGTTCCTCATCACTAGTACTTAGAAAGTGATTCAGATTTCATAGTGGATGTTTATTGAAGCTATGTGCGGACTTTTGATTGAAAAAGATTCATTCATACCGAAAAGGTTTGAGTGAGTTCTATGGTTAGCATATAATAGGACTATCTATGGTGATCAATTAGCTAGATAGATCTAATTTCTAGTGAAATTAATAAATGGGCATAAATTTGTTGGTCACTGTTTTTGGTAAATAACTTAATTGGATAGATTGTCAATACAAAACAACATCAAGCCTTTATCCCATTGTGGGGTCGGCTATATGAATCATTTTTCTCCTTGATGTCCTATTAAGAATCAAATTCTCATTTAAATCTAATAAGAAAATGTCATTTTTAATACTTTCTAACCAATTCATGTTCCCATGTGTGAGACAAGTTCAACATACACGGCATAAAGATTAGGGGTGTTTCTATCATAGACTAGAGAAAGGATTTATTGAGTACGCTAAAAGCACAATTCTAAGAGAGGTTTAAATCAGACCAACTTTCCACTGTTTTTAAATGCTAAGTTCTAAGAACCATATCAGCAACTACAACAATTCTTATTTCCATGGGAATACAAAAGTCTTGTTTAATTAATAACCTATAATGTGATACCCGATTGAGACGCAATCCTAAACCCATAGTGTGATGCATCCATCTCTAGCATTATCTAACTATGAGCAGAAAGCAGTCCATTGGTCCACTATGAGCATTAATATTTCACCACTACTTCAATTTATTCAAGGAATTGATGACTATAAATACCAAAGCTTAAAGGGAGGGGAATAACTCGTTAAAATACATTACATGTCAAAATTGGATGTAACTAGGATACCATGGATAAATTAGCTAAAAGAAATAATAGAGAAATATGAGATCTTTTATGCAATCCATTAGCAATATCAATTCAAATAGTGCGTATGGAACTTAAAATTTATGGTTAAATATGCCAAACAGAAAGGCAGAAATGCTAACCTTCTCAATATTATCCATCATTATTCCTTTAACTTCCGTAATCTGAGCCTTCAGTTTGGACAATCTGCTGATTTCTTCAGGGTTGCTTATGCAATATTGCATGTGCTCTTTCAGTTTTGGACTGTTAAAATTGAAGAAGACTTCAGAATCATAATAGATGATTGCAAAAATTCTCATAGAAGGTTCAAGCATGCATACCCAAATTCCCTGTCAAGATTGTACGCTATGCTGAATCTATCTTCAAAAAGATCATCATCTTCTTCATCAATAAGTGGGTGAGAACCGTCAGCATTAATGCTTGATTCATATCGCCGCATAAAGTCATCTCGAATCCGCTCAAGAAATACAAATGGCATGCTCCTCCCAACTGCTTCATCAGCTACAACAAGAAAAACTGCACATCCAAGAAGCAAATTAAAAACAGAAAACGAACATCAACAAAGACAAAATATCTAGAAGAAACTCCTACCAAATCCTCTATCAACTAAGAAGCTGAAGGTATGACCATCACACGAATAGGTGAACTTGTTATTATTGGGAGGCAGCTTCTGCAGGCACTGGATCGCAATGGTACTGAAATTCCCGGAAAACGATGTGTGCTCCGCCAGCACAACTGTGCCCTTTGCCACGAAACTGTAAATCAATGGTTGCTTGCTCATGGTTTTTTACTCAGTCTCTTGCAATATCAGCACTCAAAATACAAACCCTGCAATCGAATTGATTATAAAAAATAAATTTTCCAAATTTCTCACACAAAAAAACACCATGTAAAACATTAAAACCATTCGAAAAAGGTAAATTGTCTGGTCAACTTAGAAAATCTCATCAATTCAAATAAGTAATAACAGCGCAAATTGGAAAATAGAAGGAATTAGAACACAAAGGATAACATATCCGAACAGATATGAGAAATCCTTCGGACAAAGATGACAACAAGCAGATCAACAGCAAGAAGTAAAAAAAGAAGTGGAATTCAAAACAAGAACGAAACGATATGAAAGATCTGAATGCTAGATCGTCAGCAACCTTCACAGTGAATGATGGCCGAGAAGTTAAATCGAACGAGAAACCTATCAAGATCTGCCAACGAAACAAAACACCATAAGGGGGATTTGGTGAACCCTAGAGATTGGAGGGAAGAGAACGGAGGCCGGCAAACTCCTGAAACCGCTGATTCGATTGCTTCGGCACGAAGGCCCCCTTGCTTCTTTCTCGGACTTCACCCAAGTCGGGTTCATGAGGTGATCTGTTGGTATTTACAGTTGCATCACTTTCGCGGAACTATTACGATTTTGCCACACCAGTCTTTGTACCAAAATTACGAAAATGCCATTTAGCGTGGAGCAAAGCAAAGGAATAAAAATTTGGTTTTATTGATTCTATTTCCATCTATTCATAAAATATTGAATTTTGGTCATTTTAATAGTTTATGGCTTTTAGATTTCAATTTTGTGATAATTTTAGTTATTTTTAAATAAAATATTTAAAAACATATCAAACATATTAAATAAAGAAGATATTTAATTAAAATTAAAAATAAAATTCATGTTAAAATTAATAGGATCATAATGATAAAAGTATAGCATAATTGTAATAATTACAGAAGAATTTTAATTTTAGTGAATTTTTTAAATATACAAATATGAGATGAAATTCTATAATTTTCTTCATAAGTTTAATAATTAATAAAAAATATTAATGAGTTTTAAATTAATTTTGATAAAAAATTGAATCAAAATCATCATAAATTAAAATCGTGATGGAAACAAAAAACTAAGGGCTTATTTTGGATTGAATGGCTCAACAAATTTATCACACCTTATACTATAAAAGAATTTGATTGTTTTGAACCTCGTCGTAATTGATCAAATTTCTTCTCTATTTATTTTCTTGGAGAAATATGGGCCTGTAAATTAATTGTAGATCAAAATAACTCTATTGTAAGAAAATATAAGTTATAACCTTCAAATCTATAGCTATACAAACTTGTGAACAAAATAAGTTTGAATTAGATTACTACATTATTTGAACATCATTTTAACAAAGTTCAACTATGTTGGACATTGTACCAATTTGTTCCTTTTTTTTTTTGTTTTTATTCTCATTTATATTATGTGGAACTGGTTCATTTGAGTTGGTTTGTTATATATGATGATGCTCGCTTTAATCACACATATAGAAAAGTATTACAATACTCTGGTCACATATAGAGTTAAGATATGATGGATAAACTTATTAGATATATTGATGCATTTAATATTTTTAGAAGGGTTAAGAAAACTATAACTTTAATGAAGAAAAGTGTACAAATTCAAGATTTTAAAACTTTCAATTGTGAGATTGAAGGAGATGTTTGAAAGAAGTTAAATCCGAGCATATTATAGTGATATATATGAGTATCATAAGTACTATGCTTACATAATGAAAGTTGAATGGAAATAGATTGTTTTTATCATTATTAAGTGGCTAAAACACTCATCTAAGACACGGGAGAAAAAAATTTAATTATGATGTGTTATAGTTGTTGTAATTGCACCATGTTATACTATAATTATAACATGTTGTATTATAGCTCTTGTAATTATACTATGATGTATTAAGGTTATATTATAATATATCATAATTATTGTGATTGCACTCTTGTGTATTAAAGTTATATTTTGTTGTGTTAATGTTGTTATGATAGCATTTTGTTGAGCTATACCTTATTTGAACTCTATTAGAGCTAGGTTTTAATAGTTAGAACATTTTGATATATCTTACTAATCTATAATATGATGTAAACTTTTATAGCACTACTTAAATTATTTGAATATAAGATTTGAACTTTATTGAATAGAGTTTGAATCATTGTTCAAATATTGCTCAAATCTTGATTAAGTTTTGTTCAAACATGAATTGATCAAGAATTTCATATATCCTAGAGCTTTTAAAAGGGCTTGAATCTTTTGGAGATTAATATAAACACATAATGCCAAAATGCAATGCATTACAACTTAAAAAAAAAATTAATCATTAATATAACATGTGCTACATGAACTAATCGTACTTAAATGCATTAAATAGAATTGGTTTATATTAACAGTTAACTAATTATAACAATTGCATGAAAATTTATGTTTTGTTTGGGACGACTTTTCTTATTGCTTTGTAAAGCTGCTTTTTAGTACAAAAATCTCTTGAAAGCATAGGAAAAAAAAATAGTCTAAAGCTATCCCAAACGAATCTTACCATATTAAATAAAAAATAATTACATCAAATAATATTGCATCTATGAAAAAGTATTGGTTGAAGTCTAAATCATATGATTAAAAACATCATTCAATGAATGGAAGGTTAGTGTTCTCTTTTTTTTAATAAGTCTAAATGTTATCATCACCCCTTATAATGTGATAATCTTAGGTATAATATGAAAGAGACTAAAAAAGAAATCTATGTTAAAAACTGAATTATATATGACCCATATTTAAAAGCGGTTGTCACAACGTGACTAGATATTACCCTTCAACAAAATGGGTCATACCATGTCGGATTGTGATAGGATAGAAACCCCAAGATCAAATTGAAGAGAATTACAAAATTTTTAAATAATCCACTATCCATGAAGCCACTAAATTCAAATTAAAATTGCTGATACTCATCATCAAAAACCTTTTCATTCACCTCAAAAATATTTACAATTAAAATAATTATACACAAATAGTACATACACCAATAGATAAGGACATAATAGAAAAGTCATGACTATCGAAAATCACCTAACATACATATACATACTCAGATCTTAGACTTGCAACCTTTTCTTACTTAGTCTGCCCCTTTCCCTTATCCTATCTAAAATAGATATAGAAGGCATGCATGAGCAACCACATCACAACATGCTCAATCAACCTACCCAAGTTTCCAATAATAATTACTACCAATAATAAAGCAAAAATATTAAGATAAAGTAAATTCATTCGTACAAAGGTTAAATCATATTTTTCAGAATATATAAATTCTCATATAGCAATAAGCATTGTTTCTAAAATCCAATTAAAATAGCAGAATAATAACACTTCAGATAAAGATCTTAGAACAATAGAATTTCCCTCAAGCCCTCATACCTCCTAACAAATATCAAAATTCAAAATTCATACCATTATAACTTATTATGCTAGCTTATCAAGTAATAGACCCTTATAACTCTCAATACTTGGCACATCAAATGTTCAGAGATCTCAGGCTCTTATGATTGACTCCAAGTGGATAGCACATCAAAATTTCCTCCAACCATCTGAACTTATCCAAATTCATATATTTTAAGAATATAAATATAAAAATAAATGTATTTAAAAATATAGTATCCAATGTCAGAGTCGTCACAGGGTTTCATAGAGAATCCTAATAATAGTCATACAAATAAAAAAATTCATATGAAAAGTCATATATAAAATTTAATCTTTTTATAAATTTAGCAGGTTACCACACATTATTCATAGATGCATTTCGAAACCTTTAATATAGAATGACCATATTTATAAGCTTCATAATATTTTTCTAAATCAATAAAATAGTGTATTTTTAATATCCGGTGAAAAGTTTTTAATAAAATGTCAAAATGTGCAAAATATTGTCAACTATAACATATCAAAAGTTACGCAGTAAAAGCATTTCCAATGAATAGATATACTCAATTTTGGGATAAAAATTCAATTAAAACATCAAGAAAATTCAAATACTTTGAATTATTAAAATCAAGATTGGCAAAACGTAACCTATCTTAATACGAACTATTTCCTCAACTGCATCGACAAACAAAATTAACCCAATTTCTCTCTCTACAGATCTCTTTAAAATTATTGTATGCTTAAATATTATCATATTGATGGGCTAAAGTTAAAATAGGCTAATATAAAGATAATATTAGAGGTACTTAAGGAAGGAAGAAAACTAATGATTAATATGACTCCAAATTTTTAAAAGGAATTTGAAAGAGCATAAGGCGTGGTTTGAATCTGGTTTAACCATAATTTGATTCTCGTGCAAGAGATTCGAACATTATTTGAGAATAACTTCAAATTTTATTTCACATCTGATGATCACACCCTATATTTGAAATAGATATTCGACCTTTGTTTGAATAAAGATTGAACATGTAATATAGCGCTCATTCTACCTCTTTCCTATTATAAATTTGGATTGATGATTCCATTGAAATTATATAATAAAAATTTATGAACAACAAACTATTTCATGTCAAAGAATTCATTGTGAAACTTTACAATAGACTATCATTTAAAAGTGCAAAAAAAAAAAAAACTATTTACAACATGTCAATGACACTTTGAAGAGAGATGATATAGCAATTTATATCATTCAAACAATTGCATTATCACTAAGGACTATGTTGTTATATTGCCATCTCAAATTTAATTTTGTCACAAAGTCACTTTTAGACATATTTCTCTACTAATAATAATAATAATAATAATAATAAAACAATAGAGATATTTGGAGAACTGTGTCTTATGAGGCATATAAAACCACATTATCATACCAAAGATTCGTTTGGGACAGCTTGCTAAAACAGTTTTTTAACAAAAATTTCTAGTTCAAAAAATTTGTACTAAAAAAATATTTTAAAAAACAATAAAAAAGCTATCCCAAATAAAACATA